ATATATTGGTATTATTCTGGTATATACTAGTATATATTGGTATTATTCTGGTATATAGTGGTATTATTTTGGTATATTATGGTGTTATTCTGGTATATATTGGTATGTAGTGGTATTATTCTGGTATATAGTGGTATTATTTTGGTATATTATGGTGTTATTCTGGTATATATTGGTATGTAGTGGTATTATTCTGGTATATAGTGGTATTAGTTTGGTATATTATGGTGTTATTCTGGTATATATTGATATTATTTTGGTATATAGTGGTATTATTCTGGTATATATTGGTATTATTTTGGTATATCGTGGTATTATTTTGGTATATCGTGGTATTATTCTGGTATATATTGGTATTATTTTGGTATATCGTGGTATTATTCTGGTATATAGCGGTATAATAAGGAATTACTCCCGTTTCAGACAGTATAACTCAAACAAACAGCAAATATTGAGTTGAAATTCACAAGATATTTTCAGATAAATTAATTAATAATATTTTATACACGTGTTTTTGTTCATCCAGGTGACATAACCCAAACTCTAGCTACTGTCAGAGCAGCGGCGCTGCTACCTGGTAACCAATCAGAAACGCTCTTTCACAACACTGTAAATGCTGTAGCTGTAAGGTACCTGAACGGGTAAGTATTACTTTGTTTGGATTGTGTATGAAAGAGAATGAATAGGTAAGTATTACTTTGTTTGGATTGGGTATAGAAGAGAATGTTGTAACTGTAAGGTATCTGAACGGGTAAGTATTACTTTGTTTGGATTGTGTACAGAAGATAATGTTGTAACTGTAAGGTATCTGAACGGGTAAGTATTATTTTGTTTGGATTGTGTACAGAAGAGAATGTTGTAACTGTAAGGTATCTGAACGAGTAAGTAGTACTTGTTTGGATTGGGTATAGAAGAGAATGTTGTAACTGTAAGGTAGCTGAACGAGTAAGTATTACTTTCTTTGGATTGTATACAGAAGAGAATGTTGTAACTGTAAGGTAGACCAAACAAATTAATACTTACCCGTTCAGGTACCTTACAGTACAACATTCTCTTCTATACCAAATCCAAACAAAGTAATACTTACCCGTTCAGGTACCTTACAGTTACAACATTCTCTTCTGTACCAAATCCAAACAAATTAATACTTACCCGTTCAGGTACCTTACAGATACAACATTCTCTTCTATACCAAATCCAAACAAAGTAATACTTACCCGTTCAGGTACCTTACAGTTACAACATTATCTTCTATACCCAATACAAACAAATTAATGCTTACCCGTTCAGATACCTTACAGTTACAACATTATCTTCTGTACCCAATACAAACAAATTAATACTTACTCGTTCAATTTGGTACAGAAGAGAATGTTGTAACTGTAAGGTACCTGAACGGGTAAGTATTACTTTGTTTGGATTTGGTATAGAAGAGAATGTTGTAACTGTAAGGTATCTGAACGGGTAAGTATTAATTTGTTTGGATTTGGTACAGAAGAGAATGTTGTAACTGTAAGGTATCTGAACGGGTAAGTATTACTTTGTTTGGATTGGGTATGAAAGAGAATGTTGTAGATATATTAGTGATTTTCCATGTTGTTAAGGTTTGCTGCTATAGATACCGACACGCCACAGAAGATTACTTCTCTAACATTCACATTTATCACTCATTATCAACTCATCCTGAAGAAGGAAAGTTTGTTTTATAAACTAGCAGTGATTATCGGGATTTTGACACTGCGATTCTATACTTGTTGAAATTACTGTTTTTATTTATTATCTTTTTGTTATATATCTTTTAATACTTTGTGCAGTTTGTCTTTACTTTGACTGTGTTAATGAGTTGACTAGTAAACATTGTGAAATTACGTTCCTTAACCTTCAAATAATCGATATGTACTTTGATACCCTTCACTTCCGGTGGGGTCCACAAATATTCGTAGAGAACTCACCAAAATAATTAGGTAAATTGAACATATTGTTTCACATAAAATACACAAGAAACCAAAGCAGTTGGTAGCATAATTAATTACAATGTTAATGTCATGTTTAGTTTAGTTTTATCTTATTAATGACCCCGTGACCGTCAAGAAATGTCCTTCCAAATCCATAGGTTATCCTAAGAATAAGAAAGAAACCTGTAAATAATTCTGTGACCACAGCTTCAATAAGATTTCCATCCTTTAGCCTGATGACTGACCCAACAAACAGAGTCGTCGCAGGTGAAGCACTCGATTTTGTCTACCTGACTTTAAAAACGCTAGAAGACGCTAACATCAATCCCGGCAGTTTGCAAAATCTTGCGAATTTAAACAGAAAAGTATCGCAAACTTTGACAGGATCAACATCATTTGAAGGCAAGTTTTCAAAAGAAGTTTCGTGCTTTCTTTTGTATTAACTAACTAACGATTTTCTTTATAATAATACAGCTACTTTGTATTTAAATGAAAAGTCAATCGTTGAGAAAAAATAAAGTTCAGAATACAAATCCAGTGTTAAATTTCGGTCCAGTTTCATAGAAAATATTTTATATAACTATTTGACACTACAGTGTTTTTACACTCCATGTTTTTACACTCCATGTTTTTACACTCTAGTGTTTTTAAACTCCAATGTTTTTACACTCCATGTTTATGCACTCTAGTGTTTTTACACTCCATGTTTTTACACTCCATGTTTTACACTCCATGTTTTTACACTCCAGTGTTTTTACATTCCATGTTTTTACACTCCAGTGTTTTTAAATTCCATGTTTTTACACTCCAATGTTTTTACACTCCATGTTTTACACTCCATGTTTTACACTCCATGTTTTTACACTCCAGTGTTTTTACATTCCATGTTTTTACACTCCAGTGTTTTTACACTCCATGTTTTTACACTCCAATGTTTTTACATTCCATGTTTTACACTCCAGTGTTTAAATGATTAAAATTTTCATTTATTATCAATAATTCTCAACGAAGCCTTTCGAAGTAGAATATCTAATAAATAAAGTTTATCTTGTTAATAATAGAGAATTTTCTGCTGAGTTCAATAGAGGGAGTTAATAATGCGTTTTGTCATTGTTTTAACCTTCGTTTTGTAAAGTAGGTTGTATATAAGAAATAAGTAGGTTTTGAAGCATGACGTTCTTCAATGTTGTCACAATGGAAAACCTTCACAAAATTAATCTTGATAATACATAGAAAAGTATTGGATAAAAGGTAATATAAAAATTAACGTAGACACATTTTTTGTACTTATCTAATATGACATGATAGGTGTAGCTGACCTTCGAACTATACAGAGAAGAGTTGTTTTATCACAGTTATTATTATTTGAAAATGTAACATTTTTATAAGAAGACAAGTATTAAATACACGTAAATGTTTTTTTAGTTTTTGAGATAATATAGTTTTAAAACAAATGATTTTTGTCGACATTTTTAGTACTTCCTGTATTAGTCTGGTAGAGGGCGCTACATTATTTGAAACTAATATTGTATCTAGTAGAAGTTTCAAAATCGTAAAATTGATGCGATTATTATTTTTTTGTTGTAATAACTTCTAGAGTTTTCAACTAATTTTCTGACTGATTTTAGATTTCACAACAAACCTGGTCTCTAGCAGCAAATTGTCTCGAGTGAAGCGTTTCGTACAGTCTGATGTCTCCGTTCTGGACGTCTATACCGTACGTGTTAAATGAAAGTTATCTATGGGATAATTACGTACCTAACTATCATTATTAACTTCTGGTCAAAAAAAGCTATCCAATAGATGAAATCTAAAAATTAACCCAGTAATGAATGTTACTAATCTAATATACCTTTCTTATTTACACCGATTTATAATTTTGGTACCCTTGCTGCTGGCGACATTTTCGGCCGTAATTCCAATAATATCTTATGAGGTTCAGCCAACTTATATTCTAAGTTAGCAATGAGTAATCCTCGTAATAAAAATCTATAATAAAAATGAAAAATAATAAATTAAATGTATTACACATATTAACCCTTTTTAACCAATACCATTAATAAAACTACCGTTAAAAAAATATAATAGTATATAACTTTGCTTACAAAACGCAAAATCCTAATTGACCGAATCCTTGTATATTGAAAACCTTGACAAAAGTATATATATTAAAACTTCAAATAATACTTTTAACAGTGTCTTCTGACCAATGGGATTACAATAAATGGCTCCTACAGTGTAATGTTAGTGTAGCTTAATATTTGAGACAAATTACAGTGAGTCATGTTACTGTTGAACTACAGATGGGGTAGAAGAACAGTACAGACAATACAACAACTACTGATGTTTATGCATGTAAAATTAGTTAATTAAGTGTATCACAAAATCGTACAATAAATAGAAAAATGTTAATACACTATTTAAGATAAATAAGTTACATTTATTGAATAATTATTAATAAACAGCATATGGATGTGACTAAAACTAATATGACTTTAAATATCGCCCATAAACATGGCAAATGTATAGAGCAGGCAGATGGAAATAATAAATTAAGTATCTAAAACTTAAAAACTAGTTAAAATGTATAAGTGATAATAAGATAGGGTTAGTCTAGTTATTCTCATTGATAGACACAGGTAATAATTACCAATAAAATCTATACTAAGGTTAGTCTAGTCATTCTCATTGATATATACAGGTAATAATTACCAATAAAATCTATACTAAGGTTAGTCTAGTCATTCTCATTGATATACACAGGTAATAATTACCAATAAAATCTATACTAAGGTTAGTCTAGTCATCCTCATTGATATACACAGGTAATAATTACCAATAAAATCTATCCTAGGGTTAGTCTAGTCATTCTAATTATATACACAGGTAATAATTACCAATAAAATCTATCCTAGGGTTAGTCTAGTCATTCTAATTAATATACATAGGTAATAATTACCAATAAAGTCTATCCTAGAGTTAGTCTAGTCATTCTCGTTAATATACATAGGTAATAATTACCAATCAAATCTATCAACGTTGCATGTGGTGAAACAAAGTGACTTGAGAACCTTATATAATCATCTTCATTATCGTGTTTAGGTAAATACACTGCTGACTATGGAAAGCCTTCAACTGACAACCAATTCAACTACCTCTAACGCAATCCAGATGATCAATGACGTCGAATCCTACTTGGCTGGCATGTGCCAATATCTCGTTGTGGGCGAAGAGCCCGCAACAGCTGCGACCTCTATCGTTGCTGTTCGGAGCGAAAAGCTGGAATTCGATTTACTGGCTGGAAAGGCAGTGATTTTAGCATCTCTCAACAGTAAGGAAACGAACCAGGTATGGAAAGATTCTTAAGTCACCTTACACGTTAGTGCAAACTTCTTCGCTAATAAAACAATAGATAATTCATGTGAAGTCGCTAGTGATCTTCATGAAGATTCAGACTACTAAGTCACTTGTTTTTTATCGTTTGCTCTACGTAAAATCGTGGTTTAATGAACAGTTTTGTTTATTATCTTTTCAGGTGAACTTGGGCGCTGAGATTGTCGAAACGTATAGCTCGTGGCTGTGTTTGGAGCACGAGCTATGCTACAGCGCGTGCGTGGGATCAGCGGAGGTGAAGTCAGATATCGCTACACTAGCTGGTGGAGAGACTTTACGTGGCTCTCTTATTCTTTTGCGGTTCTTTAACCCTCTTACAGGCCACCAGATGGCTCTTGAACCTCTTCTGATACCGATGATTCTGACTGTTCCTGTAGAAAATATCGAAGTTAATGAAGGAGAAACGCTTGTGGTAAGGAACTGTTCAGAGCTGATTTACATATTTACCAGAGCTAACCTCTCTGTAAACATCCTAGTTTTCGTATAAGAGCCCGTCACTAAAATCACAACGTTTTATGTAAAACATCGTTTATGTTACTTTTGTTTTTATTTTACGAGGTTCACAAGTTAAGTTCCAATTCGTTGGAGATAATGAATTAATCAGACTTGTAAGAAACTACAACAAAGGCTGTCGTGTGCAATAAGTAAGCTATCTTCAGCTTTCCAATTTTACCACCAGTTTGTTCAGAGTTTTTCAGAAATATGTTTGCAATACGTGGATATTGTTTATGGCTTCATTTCATTGATAGTAACTAGATTTGTTGTTATCGTGTTCTTCTACAAAATTACTAACCTCTTTCTTTATAAACATATAAATAGACGACTTAATGATAAGAATGGTTATGCTAAAGATATGCAATATGTTAGTATTACATGCAGATACAGTTTTGAGTGTTTAGTAATAATATATAGGTAACAAAGTTTATCTCCGAATTCATTCCTTAACCGAAAAGAAAAACAAAACAAGTTGCCCACTGAAAACTACTCAACTCAGCATGTTTAAAATATTCACCCCGACTACCCTCATTTGTTCTTTAAGTACCAATGCTATAACTCAGCATGCTATCAAAGATAATGACTTAATTACTGTTCATTAATTCAGATAATTAATTATCAAATGTCTTGGTTTTTATTGTTTTAGTGTGGTATGTTTGACACGCATAGTCTCACATGGCAGACACGTGGATGTGAAACAATTGGACGAAATATAACCAGTGGATACCTTACTTGCTCGTGCCATAACCTTGGGTCTTATGGGTAATATCAGTGTAATAGTTCTAGATGAGTATAAGAAGACACTACATGCTAAAATAGTTCTAGATGAGTACAAAAAGACACTACATGTTAAAATACTTCTAGATGAGTACAAGAAGACACTACATGTTAAAATACTTCTAGATGAGTACAAGAAGACACTACATGTTAAAATACTTCTAGATGAGTACAAGAAGACATTCCCTATAATAATATTATGGACAATAAATGTAAAGATGTTTAACTAGTGATTTTGAACATTTCAAACAGTTCATAAAATAGTAAAAACAATTTGGCAGTAAAGTAAGTCACACAATATTTTATTTATATGTTAGAACGTTCTTCTTGTTTTATAACATGCTGTGTTCTGAGAAGACAATAAGCTTCTTCTTCGTGAACTTACTATGTTTAAAACTTGAATCTTAGGGCGATCGTGGTGAGGAGACCAACAACAACAGTTGAACCATCTAACATAGAGAAATTTACAACAACAGTTGAACCTACTACCACAGAGAAACTTACAACAACAGTTGAACCTACTACCACAGCCGAACCTATCACTACAGAGGTACCCACAACGACAGCCGAACCTATCACTATAGAGGTACCCACAACGACAACTGAACCTACCACTACACAGGTACCCACAACGACAGTTGAGCCTACCACAACACTGATACCCACAACTACAGCTGAGCCTACTACCACAAAGATACCCACAACGATAGCTGAACCAACCACCACACAGGTACACACAACGACTGGTGAACCTACTTCCACAGAGATTCCCACAATGGCAGCTGAACCTACGACCACACAGGTACCAACAACGACAGTTGAACCTACCACCACAAAGGTACCCACAACGACTGGTGAACCTACCACCACCGAGATACCCGCAACGACAGCTGAACCTACCACCACAGAGTTACCCACAACGACAGCCGAACCTACCACCACAGAGTTACCCACAACGACAGCTGAACCTACCACCACAGAGATACCCACAACGACAGTTGAATCTACTACCACAGAGATACCCACAACGACAGTTG